CCTGCTCTGGCTGGAAAGGGAGGCTTGGTCACTCATGTCAACATGGCCAAGACTGGACTCTGATCACCTACTCCAGCTGCCCCACCCTCCCAGCTCTGTTGCTGACAGAGATACTATTGAAACTGTAGGTACTATTCTGGCCCAGCCCCTCTAGACGCTTGAAGAGTAGGCAGGAGCCTCTGCCTTCCCTGGACTCACCTTCGCCAGCTGGACTCTGGGGGAGGAGATAAGTAGGCAGGACTGTAGGGAGAACTGTCGACGTGAACCACGCTAGTTAAAGAAAAATAGCAGGAATAGAAGGGATAGAGACCAGAAGAAAGAATAACAGCGGTAAGCAGCTAGTTATTTCAAGAGAATTGTAGCTTTCTCCTTCTCAATAGGGGACCATAAGGACTGAGGAATGGAAGAGAAAGAAGTGGGGGTGTAGCGAATGGCAGAGGGTTTGCTTGGCATATGTGAGGCCCTGGGTTCAATCCCAGGCACAAAGAGAAAAAGATAGAAATCAGGTCTTATGGAGCTGGAACAATCTAGGAGCATGTCTGGCCAGGGTTAGCAGTGACAAGTGGACAGGCCTCGAGGACTAAAAGCTCACAATAGAAATGGGGGGGGGGAGGGCTGGGAAGGTGGCTCAGTGGTAAGAGTGCTTGCCTTGCATGCATGAGGCCCTGGGTTCGATTCCTTAGCACCACATAAGCAGAAAAAGCCGGAAGTGGCACTGTGTCTCAAGTGGTAGTATGCTAACCTTGAGCTGAAGAGCTCAGGGATGGTGCCAAGGCCCAGAGTTCAGACCCCACGACCGACAAAAAAAAAAAAAGAAAGAAAAGAAATGGGAGAAGGGACCTGCTTTAGCAGAATATATATTGGGGACAACTGATGTACAGAAAGTGAGCTGAAGGGAGCCAGCCAGAGGGCATAGTCTCAGAGGCAACAACTCCTTAGCACAGAACACAGGACACAGAACAGGATTCAGCATGGACACAGGACTGGTGGTCACTTTTCAGAGGCTGGGGAAAGGAGATCTGGAGAAAGACAGAATTGGATATTTAACGTCCCTTTCAACTCTGAGTTGCAATCTCTTCCCACCCTTCCCTGTCCTGAGTCCTCTATGAAGGATATGTGGCGGGGGTATCGACGGAGTGGGGATACCATTCTTCGGGGATCTCGCTGTACCCTTTCCACCAGCCCATGGTGCCGAGTGCTCCGAGATGAATCCAAAGGTGAGTGGAGGGGGCTCTGGCAAAATGGACAGATGAAATCAGGAAGGAAATCAGACTGGCAGCCTCCACTTCTCCCTGGCTGGTGTCCACTCACCTGGAACTCGGCCAGGCCACAGCCAATCTGGTTAACATTGGGCAAAGAACCACCATAGTGGGAGCTCCTTGTGTAAGCCAGTCGCAGTTTCTGGGCCTGTAACTGAGACATGAGGGACAAATGGGAATGTTAGGCAGGGTACTGAGCTCTGTTCCTATTGGCCATTCTTGCCATCCCTGTTACCAGAATATGCTCGTGTTGCTTTTAAGGCATCTGCCAGAAAGAGGCCAGTGCTAGGGAAAAGGTCACTGAGCCTGGATACAAACAATCCACCCCAGCCCTTCTGCAGGCTACCCTCATCAATGCGCCCACTACTGCCTGACAGCACTCTGTTGGACACTGTTGAGGGCCTGTCTTGGTCAGCATCAGTCTAAGCAGAGTCCTTGTGGAGCTCCTAGGAGTCCCCAGGCTGGTCACAGGGACAGATGCTTATTAGGCATATCTGCCTTCATTTCCAGATGTGACCAAGACTAATTAGAAGTTGAGGGGAAGGCTACAGGTAGATGTCACAGAATCATTATTGCCCGTCTCCCCACTTCATACTGTGGAGAGTATAGATTTGGGGGCCAAGTCATTTGTCCAATCTTAGGACAAAGCTACAACAGAGCCTGCACTTCCCAAACTAGAAGATGCAAGAGAAACAGTGCCAAAACCAAGGGCATTCTACCTCTGAATCCAAATGACCCTGAATTGGCAGGGAAGCCTGGAGGATGTGTGAGGGAAAGAGCATTCCAACCTGGGCCAGAGCCATCTTCTTAGCCTTATCTCCAATTTGGGGACACAAAAGTAAGACACTAAAACGCTCAGCTAACTTGGATTTAGTCTGTCTACATATCTCACCTCCCTTTGTGAGAGATGGGCTGCTACTTCCAAGGTTCAGCCACTACTACCAGCCAAATAAGTACAGCCAGGACAAGGCCATGGGGAGGAGGATAGCCGGGAAGGGGTAAGTTCTAAGAGCATACAGGGTCACACTGCTGCACAGAACTATGTTTAGGTCAGCTCAATGAGTTCAGTGGGCAGCATAATAATCTATGGGCTACTTCAAGCTCATTGTGAATGTATCTAGCAACCCTGACCACTCAGTAGTACAGGCCCCCATGGACTAAATGCCTTACATGAACACTCCCAGCTGGCCAAGTAACAAACTGAGTTATGTATCTCCCATCTCCAGCTCAAGATTCTTGTGTTCTTAGGCCCAAGCTCAAGCCTTTACTAGGTAGCAGAGAAGTTCATCAGCAGAGGAAAATTGGGCAGACGGGGTCTTTTGATAAAATAAAGCACCACCAAGCTAGAAGCCCCAACTTAAGTTTCTCACAGCCTTTGTTGGTACACACAAGCCCTAAGATCACTCCATGCCTTGATTAGAACCACTGTCCAGAGGGCAGGGCCCAATGCTGTCAGCTGGAAATGAGCTTCTTTGCCATCTTCTGGTCTGCCCTCACCATAATCAAAAGCTCTAGTGGGAGTATTCAACATTAGATCACAATTCCTCATGGCGGTTAGTGTGGGTTACGGGAGCACATGTACATGCACGCACGCGCGTGCACACACACACAGGCACAGACACACACACACAAAACCAGATTTGCCTCCTCACTTATCTTTCTCTGTTCGGTCTCCCACAAACTAGAGCACAAGGTCCCCAGAGACTCAAAGGGAAAAAACACACAGAAAAACTAACAGGGAGATACACACAAAAATACAAGTCACAGTCATAGCAGCAAGCACAGGCCAGAAGAAAGAGCCATGAAATTCAGCATTTATGTTCCACCATCTCTCCCCTTAGATTCTTTCCAGCTCTTTGCCATGAGGGATCAAACTAGGATATCCTCACCTGCTGTTTTGAGAATATTGTCCCTAAATTTGGACAGCAAAGCAACTGGGGAAACTCTTGCCTCTAGTTCCCTCTGACATCCAACTGTGGGAAGCAAGAAACTATTACCAGAAGGGTTGCAGAGGGAGCAGCGGCAGAGCCCTTAAGTTCTTTGTGGAATTAAAAATTACCTCCCCAAAAGACCCTCGAAAGCATTCCACCCAAGGTAGCCATCTCCCCTACAGAGAGCGCAGCAAACCATCAGCTTCTATACAACCTTAGCTGATGGGTTACCCAGTTTGGGGATCCAGAGCTCTACTTTTCCTCTAAGATGGCCAGGGCAAAACACTAAGCACTAGACTGTGAGCAATGGACCTCACCTTCATTCACGTCAGGAAACCACAAGAAGTATTTGAAAAAGGAAGCAAAGGGACGGGACGAAGGAGGGGACTTCCTGCCCCATTATACCCAGCACTGCTTGATCAAACCACTCAAGGGGCCCTTTCCCGTAGGTACCAAACTCCCAGAGTGGCTTACCAGTACACAGGGACCAGTTTGGAGATTACAAACTCAGAAGAAATAGATTAGGAACCAACAGACCGCCCCGCCCCCAGCCCCTTTGCCAATCCCTAACCCAAGATCGGGGATGCTAGGGTAGAATTCCGAGGGCGACTCCGTGAGGGATGCACAGAGACCACCCCTTCGGCTGGACTTCATCTCCCCTCTTCGTCCCACCACTCGGGTCTCATGTGCTCAGCCCCCAGGCTCTCCCACATCCCCAACCTTTCGGTGTCGGTCTCCCCAGTAAAATCCGCCTTCCTGACCCTCGGCCCTCAACCCGCGCCTCCCAGACGGCGGCGCCCCGTAGCCCCGACCGCGTTCCGCCTCCTGCGCTGCGGCTCCCGCCCCCGCCCCGCCTCTCCGCCCTGCTCGGGGACTGCTCTTCTTCATTCCGGCTCCCCGACGCGGTCCCTCACCCGGGTGGAGCCGATGTCCATCATCACCTCCTCGAAGGCCGCAGTCTCTTCGGCCTGACGCTGCTTCTGCAGCGCAATCTTCTCACTAAACTTGCGCGGATTGGAAGCTGAGGCCGTGGCGGAGCCGGGCCCGTTCGCCCCCGACGTCGCCATCTTCCTCCCGCGTCCCTCCCCGCCACCTTCTCAGTCTCAACCACGGCCTCCGCCGCGGTCCCGGCCCGGCACCTCCAGCCGTAGCCTCCGCCGCCGCCTCCGCGAGCCCCGCGGCCCGGCCCCAACCTAGCCCTGACCTGGAGCGCAAGTCCTGCCGGGATTCGTAGTTTGTTTACGCGCCTCCTCCTCGCCCGCACCCACGCGGCGCGAGGAGGAAGCGGACTCCACTCCCCGGCGGCCACACTGACTGGGGAACCCGGGCACGCGCCCCACCCCTCACTTAGTCTTCGCGCGGAGACAACTGGGAGATGTAGTTCCACACCCGCCCGAGCCTACGAACAGGAAGGGGAGAGGGATTTGGAGAGGAAAGGAAGAGGGAGGGAGGGAGAGAGAGGGAGGAAACGAAGGGAAAGGGAAGGGGTGGAGACAGGGAGTAAAGAAGGAAGAGACAAAGGAGGAAATTTTTGGTCATTTTCAGGAAAGGTGACTACTGGGGCGAGTGAAAACAGTGAAACCAAGGAACTTAAAATAATTGCAAATACCTTGGGCTCAAGTTATCTCAGGCTGATCACATGCCAGCCCCTTTGCGAAAGCAAATGAATTTGATACCAGAGATGTATACAAACATCTTTTATTTGGGTAACATGTCCCAAAACATGTCAGTTAGTAAAATAGATTCTAGAGAATATGGCTCTATGCTCAGACCCCCTCCCACCCCCACGCGAAATTAAGCCCTCCCCCCCCCATGGGCTCCTCAGGAATAATAAAAAAAATTTGGCAGCTGTTTAATATCTAGATGAGGGGCACCATGTCCACTTTATGTGTATTCCTAGAGTGTGGCAGTGGTAGGTGAATACCAATCACTCCTCCCTCTAGTCCAGTCCAGGAAACATTTCTGCCCACCCCAGATTTTGAGACCAAAAGAAGAGCAAATAGGTCTCGACCTCCACTGAGGTGCTGGGTAGTGCCCAGTGCCATATCACTGTGCTTTCCGGAAAAAGGGGGCGAATTTGGCACTTTAAAAGTAGAGGAGGAGTGAACAGGACTGAGGAGGCCAGACAAATTATCAAAATCGGCAGAGATCATTTGGCACTAGGGGAAGAAAAGGAGACACATAGATGTGTAGGAACTAAGAAAAGCAGAATGAGTCCACTTCAAGTATCAGAGTGCTTTAAAATGGACTGATTCTGGGCCTGGGCCTTCTCCATTCCTTTATACTACAGCAGCTGGCTGCCTGCCTCCAGCCTCCTGAATGTCATGAACATCACCTTGTGCCAAAGGTAGTACCTGACTTGATCCTAGCAATCAGGGTCTGGCCAATCCGAATGCCCCCGATCATGTCTCTGATTGTGTCTGTAATGAGGTGGCAATTTCTTGTCACTTGGCCTGGAACCTCTTCTCAAGCTCACTTCCTTCTCATTATTCAATGTCCCAGATGCTTCATCCCTACCTCCCAGAGATCTCTGGTTTTAGTAACTCCCTTCCCCATTCTTTCTTACTCCCACACAAATAGGGGGGAAGAGGGTGAGCAGGAGTTTCTGATAGTCCCCTATATTTGGACAAAGAGCAAGCCAGTGAGCAGGGCAAAACCTGCTAGGAGCAGAATGACCTTGAGGATCCTCTGCTCAGAAGTAGCCAGCTCCTGAGGCAGGATTTCCAAGAAGGTGATATAGAGGAAGGTGCCAGCTGCCATGCCCTCCAGTACAGACTGGGCCAGCTGGTGCAAAGGCCCAGCTGACTCTGCCAGAGCTGCACCCAGCCCAATGCCAAGTGGTGTCATGCATGAGAAGAGGATCCCACAGCCAGCCACCACCTGTACTCTTAGGTGACTCTGTAGCAGCCTCAGGGACAGGCTAACAGCCAGGATACCCTTGTGGAGTAGCAAAGCCAGACACAGCTCCATGGCCCGAGCTCGGTCGCGCTGCAGTCCCACAGCCAGGCCCTCAAATACTGAGTGCAAAGCCAGGGAGAAGACCAATACACAGGCACGCAGGGCTGTGGGGGCTGCTGGAGCTCCGCTTGCCTGTGGGACCCCTGGCCCATCATGCCAATGCTGAGGCCCACCATTTACTGTTCCCAAGAGAGCCCTTGTCTCCTCTCGATGTGGTGGCCCTGACTGCTCCTTATAAGCCAGGGTGATCTGCTCCATCACCAGGACCAGGAAGAAGCCCATAGCCAGGATGAACTCTTGCAGGGGGAACTGGAGCTGTGGACACAAATAGAGCAAGGAGTTCAGGAAACGGGCCAAGAATGGGAAGTGCACACATAGGGCCTAATGGAGGCCCAGCTACATAAACCTCGAAGTCCCACACATGGATACTGAGATACTGGTGGCAAGACAGTTATGATGTTACTTGGTGTATCACCTGCCATAGACAGAAAATGATACACAATCACACAGATTATGTATCACATACAGCACTACATGTAGATCCAAATATTTCAACTCTGGCATAGTAACATTTTAGGTCAGGTAATTCTGTTATAACTACTATGTACAGTAGCATCCCTGCTCTCTACTCACTTGATATTAGTAGCAAAAACACATCCTGTCCCCAATCCAGTTGTGACAGGAAAAAAAATAAATGTCTCTAAACATTACCAAACCTCCTGTTTTTTTTTCTTCTTTTTTTTTCTTTTATTGTGAAAATACCATACAGAGGGGTTACAATTACATGGGCAAGGTATTGAGTGCATTTCTTATCAAGCATTGTTGCCTCCTCCTTTGTTTCCCCTACCATCTCTTCTCATCTTCCCCACCCCTCCACCGCCTCTGTGTTGAAAGTCACAGACATACATATAGATAAACTCTCTCATGTAGGAACAGTAACAAAGGTAGGTCATACAGGGGCCCATTTCCCAGGGCTACATAGTGTCACAGAGCCTTCAGGCTCATACAGTCAGAATGAGACACAGATCACTTGGTCACAGATACACAAAGGATAGCATCCATTGTTATTTCCTCAGTTTTAAGAAGAAAAAAAAGAAAGAGAGAGAGGAGAGTTTGGGATTACTTCCCTGAACCACAACCAACTGTCTCAACTTTCCCCATAATGAGATTTTCTCAGTCTTGGACCTAACCATTTTCCACTTCCCACTTGCTTAAGCAAAAACCTTTTTAGTCAGTAACACTACAATGATCATTGTCTCCAGTCTTTCAAGAAGTAGTGGAAGGCGGGCACTGGTGGCTCACGCCTGTAATCCTAGCTACTCAGAAGGCTAAGATCCAAGGATCACAATTCAAAGCCAGTCCGGGTAGGAAAGTCTATGAGACTCTTAGCTCCAATTAACATCCAGAAAACCAAAAGTGGTGCTATGGCTCAAGTGTTAGAGCTGAGGGACAGCACCCAGGCCCAGAGTTTAAGCCCCAAGACCGACACACACACACAAAAGTAGTGAGCGCTGGACACTAGTGGCTCATGCCAGTAATTATCTTTACTTGGGAGGCTGAGATCTGAGGATCCAGATAATTCAAAACCAGCAGGGCAGAAAAATCCAAGAAACTTTTTTTTTTGGGGGGGGTCCGGTCATGGGGCCTAAACTCTGGGCCTGGGCACTGTCCCTCAGCTCTTCAGCTCAAGGCTAGCGCTCTACCACTTGAGCCAAAGCGCCACCTCCGTCTTTTTTCTTTTTGCTTATGTGGTGCTGAGGAATTGAACCCAGGGCCTCAGGCATGCAATGCAAGCGCTCTACCACTGAGCCACCTTCCCAGCTCTTTTTTTTTTTTTTGTCGGTTGTGGGGCTTGAACTCAGGGCTCGGGTGCTGTCCCTGAACTCTTCAGCTCAAGGCAAGCGCTCTACCACAGCACCACTTCCTGTTTTCTGGTGGTTAATTGGAGATTAGAGTCTCATGGACTTTTCTGCCCGGGTTGGCTTTGAACCACAATCCTTAAATCTCAGCCTCCTGAGTAGCTGGGATTACAGACATGAGCCACAGGCGCCCGCTCCAAGAAACAAATCTTTATCTTTCACTAACCAGCAAAAAGGGGAGCAAAAGGGGAGGGGTGGCTGAAGTGGCAGAGCTCTAGAGCAAAAATCCTAAGCAGGAGCTTACAACCCTGAGTTCAAGCCCCACTATCAGCACAAAAAAAAAGAAGAGAAGGAGAAGAGGAGGAAATGGAGGACGAACAGGAGAAGAGCAGGAGGAGGAGGAAGGAAAGAAAAAGAAAAGAACAGGGATGGAGGGAGGGAGGAAAGGATGGCTAGGTAAGAGTGAAGATGGGGGCTGGGAAGGTGGCTCAGTGGTAGAGCGCTTGCCTTGCATGCATGAGGCCCTGGGTTCGATTCCTCAGCACCACATAAGCAAAAAGAAAAAA